CTCTCACTGCGCCGACGTCCCCCCTCCACTCCTCTCTCTTCATCTCCTGCAGTTATTTCTCAACCTCTTCTCTCCTCCTCTTCTCTCCTCCTCCGGCGCCTCCTCCTCCTCTCGCCAGAGTTCTCTTGCTACACTCAGCCGCATGTTTACTCAGCCGTCAAAAACTTCTGCCGGAACTTTCAGTCATGATAAAAATCATTATAGTCGATTTCGATTTCTGGTACTAAACCCAGTGAATTTATATACTTATTTCAAATGTTGCTACGGACTATTGCAACGTCTTCAAATATCATATACTATTTTAGCTCATTTATATCAAACACCTCGTACTATTTTAGCTCATTTATATCAAACACCTGGTACTATTTTAGCTCATTTATATCAAACACCTGGTACTATTTTAGCTCATTTATATCATATTTATACCTGATATCTCCCATCATCATGATGATCAAGACTCAGTGACTGGCCGCGGCGGGGGCGGCGCGGCGGCCGGGCTCCGCGGCCCGGAACCGTGCCGGGCCGGACTCCTTGCCTCACTGCCGTACGGTCAGTACCGGGAAGGCATCACTGAGTTAAGTTTGGGGGACAGCAGTTGGCAGGATTGGGTTTGGTTCTCCGGCGGCTGTCTTTTCTCTTCAAGCCTCTCGCCGTTTGGCCGCTCAGTGCCGCGGCGGCGCCGACCGTACAGTGTCAGGGCCTGGGGTCAAGCCTCCTCAGTACGGTCGACTCTCCCAGTCCTGAGGGCCCGAGTGTCCTCGTACTGATTTTTAACTTAACTTTGAGTAAATGGATCAAGCGGCTAGCATGCCGTTCACAAGCCTGCCATTGAAGGTCATATGCAAGCTCTAGCAAAATTGGTCTTTTTTTTCTCCTTTGCCAGGAAGGGGTTCATCCGATCATGTGACAGTGACTCACGGTACTGTATATGAACCACCCCGGAGCCCCAGTTCAACTTGTCCGGCCGGGCCGACTCGACTCAGTCGAGCGGACTCCGAAGGCTTGAAGGGCGACTTCGGAACTTTGCCGGGCGGCCAGCCCGGAATGATCTCCCGGAGTCCGACTCGAGAGAGAGAGTGAACACTAAGAGCAGATCTACCTTAGTACTGCGGTCACACGTGGGTCAGTGGCAACATGATTGACATCAGTGATCAAGATCCGAGGTTTGGTGACAGTGTCAGTTCAGTAGTTTATCTGACACTGTTGCCATCATGACTAACTAACTGACACTGTTGCATTACTAACCGTCTAACTGACACTGTTGCATTCACAGCCTCGGACTCCCGTTCGACGTTTTTTCTGAATCCTTGACGGCACTTGAAGCTCAGATGGTTGAACATGGTCTGGCTTGATCGCCTTGCCCTCGCCTTTCATCCTAAACAAGTAGAACATGGCGTCTCTTTGAAATCTCAGCTTGTTTGGCCGCCTCGACTTGGGTTTCAACATGATCTCATCAAACATGGCTTTCGTCAGCTCCTCTCCTCCTCGCGTATGGAAGCACTCCTTGACAACGTCGCTGCTCGTGTCAAACTGCTGGGAATCCTCATCATAAACTGCCGCCAGCTCAAAACGTTGGTCCAGGTACGCACGATACGCATCACCGTGGGCCTCGTTGACCAGCAGGTATCCTCCTTCCTTGAGGTATCTCCCGCACGGTTCTGACACATTCCCAGCGCTCAGTGAGATCACCAGGTCGAAATATTCCTCCTCCACAACAGGCGAAGAAGAGAAGAAATCCCCTCGGCTGAATGACACTACTGTTTGTTGGGTATACTCCTTGTTGTCGTTTATGAAGTCAAGCGCCTTTGCATCTCGGTATATATCACCCACCTTCTCGTCACAGTCCACATAATGTACACGAGGAAAGAAGAGCGACGGAGTGATATGCCGGTGACAGCCAGGATAGAGCACTTGCTCCAAGTTCTGTATGCGCTTCAGAGCTCGGAACACAGGGACATGAACATCCTCGGCACCCGCCCCCTTGGCATACGACCGGAAGTATGCACTCAAGGCACTGGACAGCTTACCCTGAGGACAAACTTTCTTCGTCACTGTTCTCATTCCTTCGTCCCCCATCCTTGTCACGCACTGCCGGCCTGCAGCCAACTCTGACCCTTTCCTCTCCTAGCAAGAACACTAGTTGGCCACCTCCCAGCACAAGCATTCACTCACCAGCCCCATGGCCGCAGCTTTCTGCTCAAGATCGAAGAGCGAGGTGAAGAGCTGGAGCTGGAAAAAGAGGAGGGGGGCAAGCGAACGATGCATGGCGCTCCTGTCCTCTACCGCATTGCTGACCAAAACAAAGATTTTTGGCGTGGTGTTGGGACAGTGGGTAGGGGTGTGCATGATACCGGTACTTTTATCTGGTCATGAAGGGGTAAAAGGGGTGATCAAAGGGGTACAATTTGTAGAACACACGGTGCTGGAAATACGGGCAGCACCGTGCCAACTTACCAAACGAAAGTTCAAAGATGGCGGGAGGAATGTGGAAGGAGAGGAAAGGAGGGGTCGAGGAGGCTGGAGGAAGAGTGTGACAGTGACGATATTGGAGAGAAGACAAGTAGATGAGAAAGGAGCTGGTAGAACAAGTGCTGAAGAGAGATCCACAATGAAGAATGAGACCGATGCCACAGCCTGGGAAGGTGAATGATGTGCAGAAGTGCTTTAGAAGTGCAGGTGAGTTGTCATCGATCTTACCAACAAGTTCTTTGCTCGATCAACATGTCTGACTGATGCTGGGGTCACAGATGAAATGAATTGAGAGCAGAGAGAGAGAGAGAGAGAGAGGAGCACTGCTCGTTCTCGGGAAAGTCCTGCCCACTCGGACTTGTAAACGAGTCAAGGCGGTAACTTCCGACATGCTCGCGTGAACGAGAGGATGGAGACTGGGTGCTCTGTCATGGAGGATCCAGAGCAGTTGGTGTTGAAAGACATGAAAGAAGCTGAGGATGGAGTCCAGACAGAGTTGGAGCATGCTGAAAGTAGCAACTCCCGACCCGTGGCGGACATGTCAGGTTGTCCCTCCCCCTCCTCTCTTCTGCTTCCTCGCTGCCTCTCCGAAGAACTTAAAGAGCTGCATGCACCTCCTTATCGATCAACGTGTCCCTTACCCCCCCCCCCTCCCTCCCCCCCCCGAGATCTTCCTTCCTCTTTCACTGCACATCTACACCAAGTCACGTTTGACCTGATGACAGATGAATATCGCTGCGCCATGGCAGGAAGGGGCGCGCGCGATGTCTTCAAGGATGATGATGATGAGGAGGAGGGCGGTTTCTTTCTCACAGGAACAGATATGGAGGAGATCGTGCAGAAGGAAGCGAATGGTGACAAGTCCGAGGAGGATCATGAAGAGGCAGTGGGAGGAAACGTCAGGATCGAGGCAGTGGAAGAGGCCGATGAGAGGGAGGAGGGAGGAGGTGAGCAGGAAGTCGCGGAGGACGAAGAGGGGGAGGAGTCGCCGAGTCAAAGGTCTGACACAGATTCCTGAGGAAACCCACACATCACTATCCTTTCGCAGGTTCAGGAGAATGGATGGTGTGGAGGAGGAGAAGGCAAGGGAGGACGAGGAGGACGAGGACGAGGATCAAGACGGTGAAGGTGGGGATGATATGATTGTAAGAGGTGAAATTTTCTTCAGGCGACATCGAGTTTGTTGACTCTGAAGTCCGTCGACGCTTTCGGGTGATACGATCCTCCTCCTATCCTCTCCTACCTGGCTCTCGTCCGCCACAGTTGTATCGCCGCTCCCTCCCTCCCTCTCGTCGTTACATCCTCTGTGTCCTCCTCTCCCCCTCTCATCCGCATCGCTGGCGCTTCTCTCATGCTCGATGCCTCTGTGCAGAACATCATCTTGCAGCGGGGGGTGGAGGAGACTGGAGAGGAGACAACTGCGATGGAGCCCAGGGGAGACGAGGGAACACAGCTGGGAAAGACACAGGCACAAGACGCAGACTTGATGGAGGAGGAGGAGGAGGAGGAGGAGACAGCGGGGGAGGAGAGGTATGAGGAGAACAAGGCCATGCAAGAGGAGCTGGAGGTGAGGAGGTCGAGGGTTGAGAGCATTCACGGGGAGCTGGAAGAGTACGTGAGCTACTTGCACTCAAAGAAGCTGGAGGAGGAGGACGAGCCTCTTGTGACCTTCCCTGACAACTATGCAGAGGTGAGAGGAGGGAGGACTGGAGGATGAGGGAACAGACGAGGGAAGGAGAAGACGAGAAGAGAGATGTGGGAGAGAGAGGAGGAGAAGAGCGAGGAGGGAGCAGGAGAGGAGGGAGGAGAAGGAGACAGGGGAGGAGCACCAGGGGAGGAGCTCACGAGGTCGGGCAGGTACTTGCGGACGAGGAGGCGAAGGTCATCGAGAGCCAAGAAGGGTTTGCAACTGCAAGGGGGGACGGACTGGGCAGCTCAGGTTCGTCTGGCCCCTGCCAGCAGCTCTCGCTCACCCTCCTCTTCTCCCTTGCCGATCACCAGGGGAACATGCTGCATCGTCGATAGCAGAGAGCGAAGAGGAGGAGCAAGTGAACAAAGCACGGGAGAAGGTGAGGGTGGAAGGAGGAAGGAGGCTGGTGATTGGACGAGCAGATGAGACGTCTCGACAAACTTCTCGGTGATAAACTCCGAGCCAGTCGGAGGATCCGACTAGAGGTGAACTCCTCCCCTCCCTCCTCCTCTCCTCCTCTCTCGGTCAACGGGGTTGGCAGGGAGAAGCATCTGCAAGTGCCGCGAGGATCCTCGCCAAGTCGGAGGACGAGAGGGGGGCGCACGTGCGGGCCGATTCTCGCGATACTCAGCTGGAGGGGAGGCCGAGGAGCTCAGCTGCTGCCGTCAAGAGAGCGCTGAGCAGCAGGGAACGAGGTGGTGGAGAGCTGGAGAAGTTGACGGCCAAGTACGGGAGCAGGTTGGGGCTGACGGAGGAGCAAGACAAGCGGGTGGTATGAGGATGCAGTTCATGGTTGACTCTCATCCTTCCCTACTCCAGGAGCTGCTCCTCCTCGACTCACGCTTCGACGACGCAAACGTCTGCTCCATCTTCCCCCTCCTCGTCCTCGTCCAACACTCTCCCACCCTTCCACTTCCTCCGTCACTTCTCCCTTACCTTTCCTCCTACTTCCTCCTCTCCCTCCCTCCCTCCCTCTCCCTCCCTCCCTCCCTCCCTCCCTCCCTCCCTTATCTTCATGTAGGGGGATGGACACAGTGCCAGGGGAAGGATACGCGGTGACGGAGGAGGACTCAAAGAGACTGGAGGAGATCGACATGAGGTGAGCGGGAGGAGGAGGAGGAGGAGGAGCAACAGCAGCAGAAGCAGCAGAGCAAGGCTGAAAATCTAAACAGGCTGAAACAACTCGTCGGGGAGGAGACGTTTGAGAGGAGCGTGTATA